ATGGTTTTTAAAAATAATTTAGATGATGATTTTTCCATTCCATTCTAGTCTAGTCTTCTTATTTCTATTATTTAAAAAAACCCCAAACAGTCCGGTGTTGCATGGGGTACTTGCTTGGTGGAAGGAGTGCCAGGAGATTTGATTCACTGCCTGCAATGTGGAGATTAGCTGGGGCACTCTGGTTGCCCTGACTGGATTCTCCAGTGTTTCTTTGGTAAAGCATCGTAGGGTTAGAACGGCTGTTTTGGGGGAATAGCGATAAACTATCACTAGAGGTGTGGTGGCAGAGGGACAGTGTTTTCAAGCTTTTGCGAAGCACCAAAAGGAGCTACTTGGCATGAAGAAATACCAAGCTGTTTATTTAGAATAATACATAACTGTTCCCAGGTCTGATCCAAAGCTGTTACCGTCAGGGAAAATATTACAAAGTTTCACGGATTTGGGCTGCTCATCCGTAGGCTGACGTTCTCGAGCACAGTCAATTTCTTTTTATCTTCTGTTCTTGACATTTGCCTGGTAACAGGACTTCTTGCTGCAACGCAGATGTTTCTAATACTTGGGTATATAGAATTCTAATACTCGGGCAGCTGAAATATAATATTTTCTAACACTTGGGTATATATAATTCCTCCATGATTTTCCTGCACCCTGTAGATTAAAAACATCTATTTGGAGTCCAAATGGCTGTGGTCCTCACCCTTTTATTTTTGTATGTAGAAAACAAAATAGATTAATCATTTTACCATGAAAAGGAATAAAAATTAATGACTTAAAGATAATGAAAATGAGTTAGCCATTTCAATCACCACATGTTCAAGCTCCTGAATGTTCTGCATTAGTATCTGATTTTTTGGTCCTTGCTTTTTTTCAGGCTGCAACTTCCATTTCTCAAGTTGTGGGAGCTTCAAAAATGCATTTGGTGAGTGAGTTCAGTTAGGAAAAAAATCACTGAGTCTGCCAGAGTTGTCAACAAGGAAAGTATGCCGAGACTGTAAAATATGCAGGCTCAGAGGGGAGTGGACATATTTTAAAGGGAGCAACCTAAACAACCCCCTTCTGTTTCCGCTTGCTCTCCCTGGCAGCACTACCTGATACGCCCTTCCTAAGACATTCGTTTTTCCAAAGGGCTGCGGGTGCCTGCCCCTCTCGGAACAGGATTCTGCCCAGCTCGCTTGCTTGCTCTCTCCCTTTTTCTCAGCTGGGACCTCGGAGCCTGGGCCAGGGAGGAGGCATTTTTGCAGAGAGAAGCAGCTCACATTGCTCTGGCGGGGTCTAACATGCTGTCGGTGGGTGGGTGGGAGAAGGGCAGGAGTTTAAACCGGTTGCAGTTTATAGCAGAGGCGGCGCATGCTGCTGCCGGCCCTGTCTGCAGCAGAGAGGTGGGAAGCTGGGCCTCGGCTGTGGTGGCAGAGGGGAGGGATGGAGAGAGGGAGAGAGGCGGCTGCCGCCAGCAGTACCACTCGTGGCTCTCCTGGCGGCCCTCTCCCTTGCAAAGCCAGAGGAGCAGCAAGCCCAGCTCTCCCTGTCTGCATCTCAGCTCCAGTCCTTCTTCCTGTCCCTCTTTCCCCATGGAAAGAGCAGCCCAACTCTGTCCATGCCCAGCTAGGTATCTTTCCTGTGGCAGTTACTTTTTTTTTCCCCAAAAAATTAATTTTTAGTTCAGTTTTGATGAGCTGTGGCAAAGCCCTGGCCTGGCTGTGGTCCCGGCTGCTGGACAAGCTGGCTTTCCAGCCTGTCTCTGGTTTGCATTTTGGAGCCTGTCTCCCGAGCCTTTCTGCATCAGCCTTCTACTGTACGTGGCACATATGCATGCTGGAGAAGATAGGCATGCTGTCTTTGCAATCTATTAAATAGACACTCTCCTGACTCCTGTTGTGAGCCTTCTGCAAAGGTTCTGCAAGTTTTTGAGTGTTTAATACTCCCAGCCCTGTGTGCATCCTAGGGAAAAGCTGCAACACCCCATAGTAGCTGGCACAAAATCCAAAGTATGGTTTCCTGGTTAGTCCTCTGCCCCAGTAAAGCAAAGCCAGGGGCAGCAGCGTTGATGTAGCTGCAAGGGCCGTCAGCACCCACTGCCGGGAATTCCTTGGGGTCTCCATGGCTCGGGAGGTGCCGCGTTGCCCGGGCGCCCCCTGCCCAGCCGTGCCACTCGGGTCACCCGCCCTGAGGTGGTGCTGTGGGGAAAGACGGGGTGATGAGCCCAGGAATAAGATAGCCCCAAACTGGTACCTCTTCCAGCCATTCCGCTAAATTCCAGCTGCGGGTTGTGACACCAGCTGTCAGCTCCGATTACCTGTCCCGTTTGTAACAATGCTGTCAGGCTGGCTGAGCTGCCAGCGCTTGGAGGAACCAGAGACTTTTTACGCAGGTTTGGGTTTGTTTTTTTTTTTGTTTTATTGATTAATTCTGCAGGATAGCGGAGGGGTTTTCTTGCGAAGTTGCAATGCAGGTTTTACCGGTGAGAAACTTTCTAGAGGAAAACATTTTACATTTATTTAGAAAGAAGAAGCATTAAAGAGATTAAATTTATCAGGGTCATCCAATGTAAGTCAAGAGTTCTTTTCATGTAAAATCAATGTGCGTGAATTATACGGACAGAAATTGGAGGTTAACTCACTCATTAGTCACATGATGCTCAGGATAATAAATGTTTGATGCTGGAGCATTACTGATAATTTATTAGGCATGGAGTAATAGGCAAACCAATATGACAGGAAGGGATGGAGAGGGGACTTAATAGGGGAAGAAAGAACGGCAAGGACCACACAGGTCATCCTCAGCTTATTGAATTTCGTGTCCAAGCTCCCACTGGCTTTAAAGGTATGGCGTGAGGCCGTCTAACGGTGCGAATGCAGGTAGGCGAAGAGCTGGTTAATGAGAAGAGCTGTGGGAGGAGAGCCCAGCAAGGGAGGGCGGGTGCCTCGAGGGGGCTGATATTGGCTCCTGGGGGTCTAGGGGAGAAGAGAGAATACACACAGGATGGGGAGAAGTGATGCTGCATCTACTGCGCAGGGACCAGCAGCGTCTGCAGCCAGCGAGCGGCTGAAGACATGAGACTTGGTTGCCTCTTACTGGAGGGTTTCTCTTGAGGGCTGGTCCTGGGTCACAGTAACATTTCCCTCCCGTCGGTCTGCTCTTTCTGTCACGATGACATTTGTCATAGCATTGGAGCCTCTGCCTTTCAGCCAGGGTTGCTTGAAACTGGCCAAAAGCTTCTGAGGAAATGGAGGCCAGACTGGCCGGTTTGTTAAACATGCATGGTGATTGAGGGAGTTTTGTGTTATTGGGCAGGGAGGCTAAAAATGCTGATGGGATTTGTGCCAGCAGAAGGCATTTACCCCCTTTGGTCACAGGCTGCCCCTTCCCGTGGCACAGTGCAGAGAAATTAGTCCATCAATCCTTTACATTGCCTTTTGATGTTTTTTAAAATAAAATTGTATGTCTGTTACGAGCCAGTTTCACCAGCAGCACCCAGTTTGTGTTGTGCTGTAAAAGCATTAGAGAAGAAACGTAACAGGTTAGAGAAACAGTGACTGCTTTCCTGCATTGCCTTTGGCACTGAGCAACCAGTTTGGACTTGTACAACCCAACCTTGGTGATAGATGCAGTGGATTATGAACGGCCTCTCCTTTAGCAACAGTTACTAGTACTTACACTTTGAGAAGGTATTGGTATCTCAGATGCGATGTGGTGTTTTGCATGTAGGAGGAAGCGCTGGGTCAGGGAGAAGAAGTCTCTCACTGACTCACAACTCCCTGAGCGAGGGAGACAACCCTTGAGGCTGCATGCACCATGGCGAGTACACAGAATATTTAACATGAGGCGAGCAAGTGGAAGCCCACCACCTGTGTACATGGCGGATTGGGATCTGGGCAGCATGGCGGCCCTGGGACTTCTGCTGGGAGAGGGAGAGGTTGGTGAAAAGGGAGCTGTAGAAGGAGGATGCAGCAGCAGCAGCCTCGGTGCACTGGCAGCACGAGCCTTAGAGAAGCGGAGAGAGGCTTTGGGTGAGGCCCTGGCTGGAAGAGGCTCCAGGCAGAGACCGCCCCCTCCTGCTGCATCGTCCCTGGGGTGTGCAGGGGAGCAGGGCATCGCACGCTCCCCGCAAGGGCTCTGCTTGTCCCAACGGCCATCCAGCCTGCTCCCCGAAGGAGGGAGCCCCCCCGGGGCCTGGCTCCTAGCTGCTGACTTGAGCAAACGAGTAACTGTCTTTGGAGAGCTGATATATGAGAGTGGGAAATGTGGAGAGTCACTGCTGGGAGAAATTTTAATATTTGGGGAAAGAGAGAGAAGAGGCTGTCTGACGGGAAATGTATCATCATAAAGGAACATGAAACGGCAATTTTGCTCTCT